ATAAACTAAAATACGATGACACAGTGCTCGTATTGGAATCGCATTGTGATCACATTAGAATCGCACTGTGCTCATTACAGGAGTTTTATTTTTGACTCAAACATCTCCATTTTCTTCTAACATTCGCTTTATGTGCAAGACTGCTTATTTTCATCTCCGTAAAATTTCTTGTATCCATAACTGTCTCTCTTATACGGCTGTGGATAAACAATAATTCATGCATTTGTTATCTCCAGGCAGGACTATTGCACTTTTCTGTTATATGTTATTTCCTTGTCTCTCATCTAGCGTGTACAATATGTGCAAAATGCAGCTGCAAGAGTACTCCCTCATACCCAAAAGCGTCATCATGTTGCGCCCATTATACGATCCCTCCACTGGCTACCTATTCAGTCTAAAATCACTTTCAAGATTAGACTTAAAATTATTAATGGGCTAGCCCCTGCCTATCTTCCCCCCTCTCATTTCAAATTATTCCTGCACCTCGGGTTCTCCACTATGCTTCAATCGAGGTTTGCTGTCCACTCCAAAAAAATAACACAAATCGATTGGTGGACGAGCGGTCACATGTGCAGCCTCCACAGTCTGGAACACTATCCCCGCTACACATCCGACAAATCAAATAAATTAACTTATTCAAATCGAAACTGAAGAGCTATTTATTTGTCCAAGAATACGCTAGAAAGTAGGCATTTATATTTTGGTTCAACTGGCTCACAACTCCTTTGGCCACTCGATCACCCCCTCTTGCGAAGGTTCTCCAAAATCTGGCGAAATGTTGGGATTGTGGTCAGGAGTTTTGAGACTGAACTGATTTATTTATTTATTTTCTCTGTGATTATATTTTCTTGTTACATGTATTTATTTATCAATATTTATGTATCTATTTTTAGTTTTTGATTCGCTAAGTAGTGGGGTTTTGTTTTTTTGTATTATCTTTGCAAGGGACTGGTTAATTGATGTGCAGTGTTGATGGGATACAATGGCATTAATTACGCTATTTCAATGCTAAATTCTATGCTAATTCCTTTGTCAAGGGGTGCCTTTGCGGATGTGTATGCTTTAACTTTAACATAGCCATTTCTGTGACCAGTCACAAGCTAATCACTCAGCCATTTCAATGCTAAATGATATGCTAATTCCTTTGTCAAGGGGTGCCTCTGCGGATGTGTATGCTTTAACTTAGCTATTTCAATGCTAAATTCTATGCTAATTCCTTTGTCAAGGCGCTTTGTTCCTCTCACACAGCTTAAAGGCCGTATCTGAACGTGGCTCTTTCACTCCAGCGCTGTCCTACCAGACAGTCTCGCCCCCTTCACCTGATGAAGGCCGCTTGTGTTGTGGCCGAAACGTCGTGAGAATATTATTGTGTTATTTTATTTTATCAATTTATTATTTTATTATCATTCTACGTGACTTTACCGAAAGAACCAAAGAAGATGAATCATTGCAGTCACGAAAGCTTTAAATCGTCATGTTATGTATGCCGATGATTTGGTAATAGCTGCTCATTCAGAGGAGGAGTTGGAGATGCTGCTGCTGAGACTGGAGCGTGCTACTAATAGATGGGGCCTTACCATCAGCAACACCAAAACTAAGCACCTGCCTGGGTATTTTGTACCATCGGACACTCCACCCCCACAACTCCCAATCGGTGATGGGGCAGTTGTGGAGAGAGTAGAGAGTTTCCCATACCTGGGTAGTGTGCTTATGACCGGCTCCAGTTTAACAGCAGAGGTCTCACTCTGAATAAGTCGAGTGGCAATATCTTTTCATCGGTTGCGTAACGTTGTGTGGAAGCTGCCTGGTCTGTCGCGCCACACGAAGCTTCGGGTCTTCTCGGTCACGGTCATTTCCTCACTTCTCTACGCTTGCGAAACGTGGACCCCCCTAATGGAACATCTTCGCCGGTTAGAAACATTTAGACAGGCCTGCCTACGATCCATCCTGGGTTTAACCAGACTGGATTGTGTGAGGAGCTCACAAATCCTTGAAAGATCTGGGCAAGGTCCCATCGATGAGCTCCTCCGGCGGGCAAGGCTGCGATGGCTGGGTCATGTAGCCCGCATGCCCAGCCACCGCATGCCGAAACAGCTTTTGTTCGGCCGGATCGAGGGGGCTAAACGGGCGCGGCACGGGCTAGAGAAGAGATGGAGTGATGTGGTACAGGAGGACGTGGAGCTGAGTGGAGTTGCCGATGACTGGTACCAGCAGTGTCAAAATCGGCCTCTGTGGAGGAGGCTCATGAAGGACGCTACTGGGCATTTGGAGGTAGTCGCCCTCCAACAACAATGGAGGGCAGAGGAGCGACGCTCACAACAACGAGGGGAGCGCCGGGTGGCTAGGGCACAGCAGGTTGGCACAATAGGGGGCACAGGTGGTGCATCAGCCAGTCATCTCAGTCATCTCAGTCAGTCAACCCGTGGCACCTGGGTCTGCCCCGTGACCTCCTGCCAGCGGGCGTTCGACACTTCACGTGGCCTCAAGGTGCACATGGCCTGGCACAAGCGTCGTGGTGACGTCACCGCCACTTAGTGGCGAATGGCGGTTGTTGTTATATATCTACTGTAATCACCCAGGAATGTATGTCCTTAACGTTCGTGACGTCACTCCACATCGACCAGCCCCCCTCATTAATATTCATGAGAAGGTGACGTCCTCCAAATGGACACACCCCCACCCCTCATTCATAATCATAAGCGGGTGACGTCACTCAAGATGCAGTACTCCCCCCCTCACTAATAATCATGAACAAGTGACGTCACTCCACATCGAACAGCCGCCCTCAATAATCATGAACAGGTTACGTCCTCCACATGGAACCCCCCCCCCCATCTCAGTAACATCTGGCAGTTCACCAGTTCAAGCGAGCCTGACTGCTGATGAGACACTGAGAGACGAAGCCTGTTTCAGGGTGCTGCTTGTGTTGAGTTAATGTTGATGATGAGATGCACTCTTAGAAGCTTGTGCGGCTGAGTAGCACCACTCGCATTGTGTGCGTGGAGAAGTGGCGATGTGGAGGCTGTACAGCTCGGATATCTTGTTCCTTGAGCTGCAGCAGCAGCAGCTGTAGTTATGCGTTTGTCCACTAGAGGGCATCACGTGCCTTGTGGAGAACCTGCAGTGCCCCTACATCCTGTAGCCCTAACCCTATAGCCCTGACCCTATAGCCCTGACCCTATAGCCCTGACCCTATAGCCCTGACCCTATAGCCCTGACCCTATAGCCCTGACCCTATAGCCCTGACCCTATAGCCCTGACCCTATAGCCCTGACCCTAACCTAATACTTTTGGTGTCCTTCCCCGGCACCTCCGATTAGCACGGTTGGCTATGTACGGTGCGAAAGAAATTCAGCCTTCAATAGCTGCCCCCAGACATGAGTTATCATTTGTGGTCAATTGGCTTCTGAAAAATAAGCTAATACCTCATTGGACTTTACCTGATAATATTTTAAAAAATTGCTTAGTTTATTCTTTTTTTAGTGATTTGTTTACTTTTCCTATACCTTGCACTCCGATCTTTTTTTTGTATTGTTTGTTGCTGTAACGTACAAAGCCGTCCCTACTGGACATCTCTGAAAAAAGCTTTATAGCTCATCGGATTCCTCCAGTATGATTACATATTCAGATTTTGATTCTCATATACATATCTGGGGCAGCTCGTGTTGGTAGTGAGCCCCGATGAAGGCCAGCAAGGCGCTCGAAGGGGACGGAATGGTCAGAACAGTGTCTGGTCCTCAGACTCACCAGAGACACTCACCAGGGACAGACTCACCACATATCGACACACTCACTCACCCACCCACTCATCCACTCACTCAATCTCCCACCCACCCACTCACCCTCACCCACCCATCCACCCACCTACTCACCCATCCACTCTGACTCACCCACCCACCCACTCTCACTCACCCACCCACTCACTCACTCATACACACACTCACCAACTCACCCAATCACTCAATCATTCAAATACCACTTACCCACGTACTTATTCACCCACTCACTCAATTACCCACTCACCCACCCACTCAACTACTCACCCACCCACTCACTCGCCCACCCACTCACCCACCCACCCATTCAACCACCCACTCACCCAGCCACCCACTCACTCACTCACCCGCTCACTCACTCACCCACCTACTAACTCACCCACCCGCTCTCCCACCCACCCACGCACCCACTTGCCCACCAGCTAACTCACCCACTCACTCAATCACCTCCCCACTCACCCACCACTCATTCACCCACTAATTTACTCACTCACACATCCAACCACTCCATTACCCTCTCACACACAGACTCACGAACTCACCCATTCACCCAATCACTCATTCAAAAATCCACTCACCCCTATACTCATTCACCCACTCGCTCAATTACCCACTGACCCACCCAAGCACCAAATCATGTATCCAGTTCCCCATTCATTTAATTAGCCACTCAACCACTGATTCATTCAAACTAACTCACTGACCCACCCACTCACTCATCCACCCACCTAATCATTCACCAACTCAACCATCCACTTACTCATTAACACATTCACACATCCACCAATTTACACACTAACCCACTCATTCAATTACCCATCCACCCATTCAACCACCAACCATCCACTCACCCAGGCACCAACTGATCCAATTACCCATCCACTCACCCACATATCCACACACCGATGCACTCATTCATCCACCACCTACCCACCCACTTACTCAATTTCCCACTCACCCAAGCAGTAATGTGATGGTTTATAATGTGCAGTCAATGGCAACCGCGCTGAGACCATTAATTCACCAGACTTGAGAACCTGCTTTAATCGTAGGTGAATGCCTGGATTCAACCCCATTTTAGTGCTCTGACCTCTGAGCCACTGGACCATCTCTAAACAATCAACACCCCCCCCCCCCCATGTTAAATACATAAGCAGCCTGTTTAGTAAGAAGCATTATTGGAATACTTTGCCAAGACAATTGGTATTGTGGAGCAGTCCTGCAATTGCTTTCTCATGCCTCTGCTGGCAAGAAGAATTTACACAATAGAGACCTCTAGAAAGGCGTTTGAACGATATTTTGGTCTATTCTTCCATACTCGTCAGATGATTTTGAAGAGGAAGGAGTACCCACACTTTTACCCACCACACGCAACTTGCCACTCGATTTTGGTGTACCCAGTTGTACTGTTTGGCGGACAGAGGCAGGGGAACTTCAGATACTCGACCATTTGTTTCAACTGCTGTGCCAGAAGGTGGAACCAGCAATCTCTCCATTGCCAGTGAAGTTTACGAGCCATTGCATCACAGCAGCCCCCTCCAGTATGCAATGCTAAACGAGGGTCTCTCTCTCTGCGTGCACATCAGGGTAATATTTAATGAGGTGGTATGGACGTCTCGCTGCTTCGTGATGGATGTGATGGCAGTGGGAAAGTGGAGCAATGGAACAGCGGGGCATTAGGGCAGAGTGGCATCAAAGCAGTGGGGCAGCGGAGCAGAGGGGCAGTGAGGCAATGGGGCAGTGGGCAGAGGGGCAGCAGGACAGCGGAAGCAGCTTGGCAGAGGGGCAGTGGGGCAGTGAAGGGGTGGATGTGTCAGACGAATCGCCTGATGATCTTTTCCCACCACTGCTTGTACACGTTCTGAAGAAGGGCCATTGCCTGAAACTTCTCTCATGACATAGTTGTCATTGTACCGCCGCACACACAGCCGGGACACTGCACACGAGCCAAGGCACATTGAACCAACCCAGGCAGCGCTCACAAGCAATGCAAAGTTACATTGTTTCCTCATAGGTTTATGTCATAAAGTTTATAATAAAAACAACAATGATAATTATTACATAATGCATTGGATTGATGCTAACTCTTAACAGAGTTAGTCTGTTGGCAGCAGTCAGTGTCCAGTACAGTCCTGGCATCTGCTGCTCAGTTTCCTTCCCCGGCTGCGGTCCCAGTGGCACCTCCATCACCCCAACTGTGCGGTCGACCGGCCGCAACCAAACAGCATCATGCTGCGGAAGAGCGCACGGATCGCGTTCGCCACACGAGCCAGGCCCTTTCGTTCCTGCACTACCACCGCCTCCTGCCACTCTGTCTCCTCCTCTGTCTCCTCCTCTGTCTCCTTCCCCGTCGCCTCCTCTGTCTCCTCCGTCTTCTCTTTCTCCGTCTTTTCGACCTCCTGCATCACCATCTCTTCCTCCACCACCATCTTCTCCTTTTCCTCCTCCACAGCCATCTTCTCCTCCATCTCCTTGTCGTCCTCTTCGTCCTCCACCGCTATCTCCTCATTTGTCTTCTCCAACTCCCTCTCCACCTTCTCCATTTCCTCTTTCACCTCCTCCTTCACTTCCTCTTTCATCTTCTTCTCCACAACCTCTCTCTTCTCTTCAACGGCCTGCGAGGATTGCTGCGCTGACTCCGCTCTGTGAAGAGACGCGCATGACACCGTTCAACCTTCCTGCTATGGCAGACATCGCAGTCGTCTCCTTACAATCTGTAGGTGGACTGTGTGGCGGATTAATTCGAATTTAATAACCACACAAAACATCACAATCAGTGAGTACGCTTGGCATTGCAGCTGTCATTCTCTCAATGCAAGGCTAGCACGAAGAAAGGTGCTGCTGAATCTAACACAGACTGCTGTAGTTTCACAGTAGCGGCTGGCATTGCTGTGTAAATCCAATGGAATAACTTGCAGTGACATTTGTATATGTGTACTATAATTGATCCCTGGCACACAATGGCATACTCATTTCTAATGACATCAGGGGAGATTTTTAACGTGTGCTATGAAGGAGAGGGTGTGCGTGTCTTTGTGGTTTACGCAGCAGCACTAATACCCAGGGCAGGACGCCAGAGCTGAACTGTAAGCAGTGAGTGATGAACCCGCTATCGCTGGCCCGCTTCACCCATGCACGATTGTGGAAAAATATCTATGGTGATTCGTGGTCGACTAAGTTGCCCCCTTTGACTTTGATGGCATCTCAGAGCGCTTTACACGTGATGAGCCACTCACATCTTGCATTTCTCGTCTCAATGCATTTGAAAGGGGGCACCCCCCTCCTCCCAATGGCAGCTATCCTTGTGCAGTAAAAATACACTTGGTAGTTGGCCAGGAAACGGGCATTAGTCTGGCAACAATATAGTGGATGTAGGGTTACATGGTGAATATATTACCGCATTGTTACGTGGTCTCACCCAGAAAGCAATTATGGAGAACATTTCTATCGCCGAATGTACATGTGGGGTTTGCATTGTCTGTGTGTTTGTGCGGGTGGCAGAGCTGGAACATCTTTGCCTCATAACTAGAGGGATCTGGGTTCGATTCCCAACTGGGCCACTTTCTCTGTGTGGAGTTTGTTCTCTCCCCCTGTTCTGGGTGGGCTCTGCAGCTTTCTCCCCATAACTGAACCCACATAAGCAATGCAAATCACTCAATTAGGATCGCAAACAACAGTCATTTTGTTCCCGATTACTAACAAAACTTGGCAGGACCCTGCTGAAAAAAGGTCTTGAGACTCACTGATGCTTATCCTGCGTAAAGAATAATAATAAATACACACAGGACACACGCAGAGTTGCTTACCCTGGCTCAGCGGCTCCTTCTCTAAAGACATCTTCTCCAATGTGCAGTGTGATTGGGCCCTGCACAGGAGTGGTAGTGGTGGTTGCAGCGGTAGCGGAGGAGGTGGCAGGGTGCTGGCGGCGGTGCTGGTGGTGGTGCTGGTGGTGGTGCTGGTGGTGGTGCTGGTGGTGGTGCTGGCGGTGGTGCTGGTGATGGTGCTGGCGGTGGTGCTGGTGGTGGTGCTGGTGGTGGTGCTGGTGGTGGTGCTGGTGGTGGTGCTGGTGGCCGTGGTCCGGAGGCAGTGGTGCTTCAATTTTGTGAAGCGCTTCTCCTCCTCGAGAGGCTTCACCTCGCCGAGGTTATTCACCTCCCGAATGCTCCTCTGGTTCTTGGGGCGCCTACACTTGAGCTGCTTCTATTCGTGCATATGCGCAACGATAAGCACAGGAACATTCAAACATGCACACACATGCACAAAATAATACCCACACGCACGCAAACATGCATTTCCACCCATACACAAATGCATACTCACACACCTATGCATGGACGCAAACATGTATATTGACTCATCCAAATATGCTGAGCACACACATACATATACACAATCACCCGATGTTAAAACAAACCTTTACCAATCAGTACTTTTGAACACAGCATTAATGTAGCCCTAACCACTAATTCACCTAAACCCTACAAACTAATGATACATGTTACACCCTCATATATTCCCACAGACACCTATCGACCCCACAGACCTCATGAACCCCATTGAGGCCTTGATCAACTGCGATAATTTAATGGCGATTGTTATTAACATTCATCACGGGCAATAGGTGCCACAGAATGTTCCATTGTAAGGATCTAGCTGCCCATAATCTGGAAAAATCTAACAGCAGCGCTCATCGTGGGCAACTGGAATAGCACCTTCCAATGAGCTCACAGACAGAGGTCGCGTCACTGCCTGAAAAAAAGGCCAATTTATGTGCATGCACGAGTGGGATATGGCGTGACATGGTGGCAAGATGGGGTGATGTCGGGAGATGATGTGGTGGTATTTAGATGTGATGTGTTGGAATGTTATGGAGAGATCGTGTCATGTGATGGTGTAGACACATGGTGAGGTTCTGTGATGGGTTATTGACTGGATGGTGGGGTGGTATGATGGGAAAGGTGGTGTGGAGAGATGGTTTGGTGATGTGATGTGTAGTCATGTTGTAGTTTTATCGTGTGGTGGCATGGTGTGCTATCGTGTACAGACGGTGTCCTTGACCCTCACCGACCACATACACACCTTTTGGTCGCCATTCTTGTCACCTTGGTTCGGGAAAGGGTCAACTCTGTCCATAATGTCCCCCCACGTGGTCGTTTGGAGCTGCGACTTCCGGACTACGGAGCACAGACATTTCATTCAAAGGATGAGTGATGGGTTAGAGAACGAAGCACATGGAGATTTCACAGAACTCATTCTGAGATCCCTCTAGTTACCTCTTATCACACTACAGGCCCTGCTATTGAGAAATATTCATCACATGGCATTAACACTTTACATGTCATATTTTTGTGAGCATGTTGAGATCATTCATTCCATAAACTTGAGACCCTAGTTTAATTATAGGTTGCTGAAACCCAGAGCTTAATAAACGTTCTCTGCCATGCTGGATCAGTGTCTAATCCCTTACCCACCAAGCCAGTTCTGCTGAATGCCATTATTATGGAGTTCTCCTCTGCATTTCCTAGTAATTTGTGAAAAGTAAGTTTATAGCTCATCAGAATTCTCCAGAATATATAAATATTCTGATTCTAACAAACTATTTTATGTAGGTATATGTAACTTACTCTCATAGTGCTCCAAGATATCAGCCCACTTAAGTTGTCTGTCCATGTTGTAGGTGTCGTGTCTGTTTGATGGTGGTGGCCTGGAGGGGTTAGAACAAGGATCAAATTTATCAACTCAATTAATCACTCATCCTCTCAATTATTACCATTTTCCACTCACAGTACCAGTTCACTCACTCTTGTGCATGTTGATTTACAAGCCCCTTCATTTACTTGCTTACTGCCAACTCACTCACTTGTGCACCCGCTCACTCACTCATTCACTCACCCACTCACACATGTTTATTCCAATCCACTATTCCATTGAACATAATCGTCAGACTTAACCATGTTCATGTAGAACCCATTTGTATTAATCCACTGGTTGATAAAGGCCTCTTAATGCCTCATGGATGATGAGGGTTATGTAACCATACTTAAAAACGCTGGTCACTGTGGGTTGGTGAAGGTCGGGGAGACTGCAAAAGAAAATATATTTCTGCACTGCCCTCCAATGCTCACAATGGCTATTACACCATTTATAGCACGTGGTGGCCACCCAATGCTAGGACATCCAATCACTCCCCAAGCTAGACCCTGCTTAGCTTCTGAGACCTGATGAAATCAGGAACATAACAGGTAATCTATTCAGAGGTCAACCAATCGAATTACCTGAGCAATATCCCTCGCCCAAACATCAAAATACTATTACTCAAGCATAACCCGAACACCTGATAGGCAACCCTAACCCGTCATACCGAACACTAACCCTTAATACACAAACCCTAACACACAACCGTAACTCTAACTCCTAAACCGTAACTGTATCACACCTACCCCTTATGGCAAACTCCAACCTCTAATTATAACTGTGAACTCTAACCCTTCACTCTATCCCCAAACACTAAAACTCAGCCTGTAGCCCATAACCACAACTTTTCACCCCTAATTATTAACAACGATCCCTGATCATTTTTAAAACGCCCGTGTCGGGCTCACTTTTCAGATGTGATGAAGACCAGGCTCACAACTGACGAGATTAACTTTACTTTTATCACCGGTTGTGCATCTTTTAAAAACTAGAATGCGAAATAATCGCGTCCAGTTGCACATTATTTAATTGTAAATGCATTTACATAATTTTGCTTTACAAACAATGTTTTCCATCAATTAAATAATTGTTGAATAACAAGACAAAATGCAGGAGTATCTGCATTATTATGAAAAAACTATTGTAACATTTACAATATTATAGAAATAAGAGAGAAAATAATAAATTGTGTCAAGCAGACGATCATACACTGCAACACGTAAATTAACAATTGGGAATTGTTTAATGATTAATGTTCACCTCTTTTGCATGCCGTTTCTATTTGAAACTAATTTTACATCAATATCAGTCACAAAAAACGACAATGTCAGAAATATCCACATCAATATTATTTCTACCGTCAAGAATCCAAGAATCACAATATCCACGACATTGCAGTTTGATTTTCTGATAACATATGCTAAAATTGTATATTCAAAAGTATTTGTTACAACACGTTACCTTAAGCTAAGCTAAACCCCCAAACCCCTCATGCTCATGTAGTGAGTGAGACTCCCACACCCTTGAAAGCCTCAATAATAAACCCCATTAACACGCAAACAATCCTTAAACCACCCCTTTCAGGCTCACCGGTTAAATGATGTGCAGGCTTACAACTGCTGAGATTCATTTCAGTTTCATCAACAATAGTGGAGGCTTTAATAACCACGAGGCTAAATAATCTCACGCTTATTTTAGCTGAGACAAGAAACACAGCGACCAATAAACACAGCTCTTCCAATATGAATGACACGTGGTGCATGACGTCATAGATATCATGATGTCAAAGGTACCACCCACATGACTGTGACATCCCTAACTGGAGACAACTACGTCATCAGCCAGGATCTGACCTGAACAGCAGACCCCTTCCTAATGTTAAATGTAATGTAACTCAGATTATTTCGGGCACAATTGTCCCAGTAATAAGAAAATGATGATTGTGTACATTTTATTCGTAATCTAGATGACTTAAACAGGCTCGTTTTCAACGTTTTGAATGGTTACACGGTTACGGTCTAAACAATGTTAGAAACAGCAATATATGAAGTGATATTCCAAGTTACGAATCTAATTGTCTTAATTTGATGGCAGACAATCCAATTACCACAATATTTCGGTTTAAAGCTTTCGTGACTGCAATGATTCATCTTCTTTGGTTCTTTCGGTAAAGTCACGTAGAATGATAATAAAATAATAAATTGATAAAATAAAATAACACAATAATATTCTCACGACGTTTCGGCCACAACACAAGCGGCCTTCATCACCTGATGAAGGCCGTGACTTTACCGAAAGAACCAAAGAAGATACCACAATATTATGAATATTTGAGTCTAGTTTGAGGTGACAATGTAAAATTATATTTTTAAAATGGCATCTTATGAAAAAAACTATTGTAACATTTACAATATTATAGAAATAAAAGAGAAAATCATAAATTGTGTCAAGCAGATGATCATACACTGCAATACAAATTAACAATTGGGAATTGTTTAATGATTAATGTTCACCTTTTGCATGCCGTTTCTATTTGAAACTAATTTTTACATCAATAATCAGTCACATAAAACGACAATGTCAGAAATATCCACATCAATAATATTTCTACCGTCAAGAATCCAAGAATCACAATATCCACGACATTGCAGTTTGATTTTCTGATAACGTATGCTAAAATTGTATATTCAAAAGTATTTGTTACAACACGTTACCTTAAGCTAAGCTAAACCCCCAAACCCCTCATGCTCATGTAGTGAGTGAGACCCCCACACCCTTGAAAGCTTCAATAATAAACCCGATTAACACGCAAACAATCCTTAAACCACCCCTTTCAGTTTGATTTTATAATAACATTTGCTAAAATTATATATTTAAACGTATTTGTTACAACACGTTACCATAAGCTGAGCGAAACCCCCAAACCCCTCATGCTCATGTAGTGAGTGAGACTCCCACACCCTTGAAAGCCTCAATAATAAACCCCATTAACACGCAAACAATCCTTAAACCACCCCTTTCAGGCTCACCGGTTAAATGATGTGCAGGCTGACAACTGCTGAGATTAATTTCAGTTTCATCAACAATAGTGGAGGCTTTAATAACCACGAGGCTAAATAATCTCACGTTTATTTTAGCTGAGACAAGAAACACAGCGACCAATAAACACAGCTCTTCCAATATGAATGACACGTGGTGCATGACGTCATAGATATCATGATGTCAAAGGTACCACCCACATGACTGTGACATCACAGACT